GGGTCCCCCCCCCCCCCCCCCCCCCCCCCATATGCTTTACCTAAGTGCTGCAGCGTACAAGCAAAAAAATCCTGGTGAGATTTTGTAGGAATGTTATTCACTGGTGACTTAGGTGGGAGTGTAGGTACAGCAGGGGTAGTGATGGGCTGTACTGAGTATAAAAGATTAGTGGCAAGGACTAGCATGTAGTCTTCTTGGAACTCCTTTGAAGATCTACTAATTTAAGAATTACTTCTGTCTGTAAAGCCATGTCAGTATTTAAAATAAAAAGTAATTGTTCTTGTCTCCTATCCTGCTTATTGTTTCTGTTGCATCATTTGTAACACATTGTAACTCACAAGATACTTCTCTGACAAACCACTGCTCTAAGATATTGCTGATGCTGGACATATATTTTGTTTTTATGTTAAGCCCACAGGGCTAGCATTTTAAAAAAATTTTTTTAGCGATGCCAGCTGTATTGTTCCTTACGTTTTGAATTGCTTAAATGTGACGATTTCTTAAAAGCTGAAGTCTTATGAATTGAGAATTACTTCTTTACTGTTTTGATTAAAACAGAAGTAAAATCTACTTCTTTATTGCTTTAAAGATTAGAAAATATATAGAAACATGCAGTTCGTTTCTCAAAATGGCCTTTAAATGAAGATGTCTTTAATTTTCTTTTAATTCTCAGGCCTCCACTTGCTCTAAAGCTGCCTGGTCACGACTTCAAAAATCCAGGCCCTGGGAATCCAGGGTTTGGAAGGAAATTATCTAGTGCATTATCAAAAATGCATGCCACCATTTTAGCTTGCATATGTTTTTTCTCAGGCTTCTTTTTTTTTGGGGGGGGGGGGGTGTCTCTCTAAGGAGGTAAAATACTCTGGGTACAGTATATTCAGGATTCTGGTCACTGTTGGAGATGCACAGTTCAAACTTCTTAGCCCCTTAGCAACAGTTATTCTTGGATGTTAACACGTGGGCTAAAAGGACAGTATTGCCATAAACTTTAAATGTTCATCATAGGGGTAAGAGGACTGAAACATGCTTGCTGTGAAGCCTTAAGCTAACATTAAATGTCAAAGCTTTCAGTGTACTGCAATGAGGAAACTTGTTCTAAACAACTGCTCTTTTAAAAAATGCCTATTATCAGAACCTTAGAATGTCTAAGAAATATACTTTGTTTCTTGCAACTTGGCTATTTCTCTTTTGGAGCTCTTTGATAAACCTGTATTTTGGTTTAATGCATTTTATTTGTGTATGTTGATGGGCAGAGAGGGGTTATTTTTTACTATTTAAATCTGCATGAAGAATACAGATGGCAAGGTGGGAGAAGGTTCACAGTGAAGTATCAAGATGGGTAGTAGGATTCCAAGGGCTGCTTCTGCATTGCTTGGTGTTTATGCTACTGTGGCTTCTTTAAATAAGAAGAATAAGAAAACATTTCATATGGCTTTATCTGAGCATTGCTCCCACAGAACCAGTGTTAGGAAAAAAAAAAGTACTGCAGCTCAGCTCTGCAGCAAGACTCCTGGTTTGATTAACACTGTAGAACAAGAACAGGAAAGAATATATCACCATCAGATTGTGAACCACAGCAAAGGTTGATGGTACCTGAGTACTAGTGACCTTGTAAGCTTATATACTGGAGAATGAATTGGGGAATATTTATAAATAACATATTCCTTAGGGCTCAGGCAGGACTGTGATGTCATTCTTAAAACGTTTTTATTTTACAGTTCCCTGTAGAATGTAGGACATAAAGGAGTGTGCTTACAGTATTGTACAGATGCTTAGAGAAACTGTGGTAACTTTTCAAAGAGCCTTGTGTAGCCAAGGAGATCATGTGACTTTGAGGAACATCCAAAAAATGGAAAGTTAAAGAATGTTACATTTAATTAGAAGGTCAATAATGAATGGTAGAACCAGTCTAGAATGACCTGTTTCAGAGTTGTCAGGATAGCTGTACTAGTGAATATTAAAAATCACCAAGGCAGGAGATTTTATTGGGTTAAAAGGAAATAATCTCAAGGGGAAGACTGACGATGCAAACTAAATGGCATAGAAGTAATGAAGTCTTCAGTCACTTCCTAGTAATGTGGGAAGTCAAAGGAGAATGTCTTCTAATGTATGACAGTATGAGTAGGGAGTTTACCTAAGTAAGGAAGACTTCAGTAGACACACAGAATGGAAGGCTGTTAGTATAGGTGTGTGAATTGTAGTTTACCTGGCCATTGATAAACTTCAATACTGTTGTCTGTAACCAGGTTTGATTCAAAGGTATGAAAACTGTTTTTAATAGGAGTAAACTTACAGGTTTTGCTGATGGTGGGGAAGGAAGTGGACAGCTGGTAAAAGATGAGTATTTTACCAAGGAGAAGGAAGCAAAACTGATGCAAGTGCTTCAGAGGAAGTCAATGTCAGTTTACTGATTTTTTAAAAGTACATGTGGGCATCTGAGTCACTTGCTCATGCTCCATCTGCAGCTGATGAAAAGGAAGCTGTACCTCCAGTTCCCATCACCATTCTAGCCAGCACTGTCTGTATGCAGATAACTGTGGAGTTAACTTAAGTATTCTGTGCCTAAAGCTGTGAGCAAGTTCAGGTTTGTGGTGGACAGCTAATTACATGGAAGATCCTATGTGTCTGGGATTGTTTTCAGTGTAGAAAAAGTTAATATATTGTTTACCTCCATGAAAATGACAGAGGTAGGTGATCATCTGATCAGTTTTTAGGGTTCCTAGATACTGTAATAAAGTTGCAGAGTAGATTGCAAGAAGATGGACTTCTTCAGGTGCTCTGAAGGAGCTTTTATTGTCATCTTGATAGTTTTTGACACCCCACCCCCCCGCCCCAAGACTCAGACTAGTATAGGAGCCTGTATGAGAACATTGAAAACAAATAAAAAGCCCTACTGATCTCTGGCTACACATGTGTTCCCTCTTGTACCATCTGGTTGGCATATTTGTCTTTCAGGAGTCTGTGTATGACCTAGTATTAATTTTGAAGCAAGATGGGATCCAGAACAATGGCAGTGCTATTGTTCTTCAGTCCCCACAAGAGACACTGGAAAAAAATGCTTTAACACACACACACCCCGAGAGTGATATGCTGCTGTAACAGGGACAGAGCTTAAAATAAAATACGAAGTCTTGTATGTAATGACAAGTGGCCTTTAAAGCACTAATCCAATTAGTTTATTTCTGAGGGGTCAAATAGTAGAATTGCAGTAGGCCTGTGTAAAGAACAGGAATGTGCTTACCAGGCAGACACTGTACTTTTGTGCTTTTTGTAGGACAATTTGTCAGGCCAAGTTCAGAGCAAATTTCCCAGTTTTTTCTCCCAGAAAAGAATCCTAAGTTGTTTGAAACTTTATGATTTTAAGCATGTGGCTTGCTCATTGCCCTTACCATTTTAAAGGGGTTATACTGGCAGAGAAAGCAATACAAATTGTTAGTAGAATTCTCTGCCAAAATCATGTTGTGTTACTTTGACCAAAGTACAGAGCAAGTGTACCTTCACTTGGCAGCTCAGGTGCTTATGTCCCTGTGGTAGGTTGACCCTGGCTTGTGCCAGCTGCTCTATCACTCCCCATCCTCAGCTGGACAGGGGAGAGAAAATATAGCAAAAGGCTTGTGGGTGAAGATAAGGACAGTTTAATAAAGTGAAAGCAAAGGTCATGTGCAAAAAGCAAAGGAAGACAAGTGATGTTATTCTCTACTTCCCATCGGCAGGTGATGTCTGGCCGCTTCCTGGAAGCAGGACTTCAGTGTGTGTAGTGTTTGCTCTGGAAGACAAATGTAAAATAACAAAAGCCCCCACTTCCATCTCCCTTTACTTAGCTTTTATAGCTGAGCTGACATCATATGATATGGAATATCCCTTTGGTCAGTTCAGGTTAGCTGTCCTGGCTATGTCTGCTCCCAAGATCTTCCCCAGCCCCAGCCTGCTGGTGAGTGGGTGCGGGGAAATGTTGGAAAGTCAGCCTTCATGCAAGCAGTGCTCAGCAGTAGCCAAAACACTGGTGTGCTACCAGTACAGAGCACAGCACCAAGGGCTGCAATGGGGAGAAGTAACTCCACTTCAGCCACACCCAATATGGTCACAGAAGATCCTGCAATCTTTTGTGTGTAATTCTTAGGCAAAGGGAGCTGCTTCAATAATGGTTACCTTGATAATGTGTAGTGTGAGGTCTGACTGGAATCACCAGAATTCA